CCGCGCGTCGCACCCTCGTCGGTAGAGCGTCGCGCATGAACACCCCGCGGAAGAACGGCACGCGCAGGCGACGCGCCGCTCGATCGAGCTGTTCGTCGGTCGTGACGCCGTACGGAGGTAGACGCGCTAACCTCGCCTTTTTACGCGAGGTTTTTTTTTTTTTCCGCCGACTCTCCTCGCGCCACCTCCGCGCTTCTTATACGGCGCGAGGTACAACCCGCGACCCTCCATCGCGCGATTGTGTCGCTGCAATTCGTCGAGCTGTTTTTGCGCCGCTTTGTTGGCGCTCACCGCTTTGGCCACGGTGGCCGCGCCACCGATCAAGGAACCGAGAGCGCCCAACATCGGTAGAAAGGGCAAGAAGCCGCCGCGTTTCGCCGTCGGAAGTATCCTCCGCTTCTTCCTTCTCGTTTTCGCGCTTCTCCTCACTCCCGTTCCTTTTCTCGTTTTCCTTTTGCGTTCCATACCCATGCCCAGCTTCGTCTTCGTTTTCATAGCCGCCCATACGGCCGCCGCGGCGAGTCTCTCACCGGCCGTGGAATCCTTCGCGGTGACGCGCTCGCGCGCCCTCTCGGCGAGCCGTCGATCGGCGATGTGTCGCTCGGCGAGCTCGCCGCTTCGCGAATACGCGATGTCGTGCTCCCGACACGCCGCGTCCAACGGATTGATGCCTTCTTCGCCGCGCGCTAGTCTCTTCGCTAGACGCGTACCGGGCCCGCAGAACTGATAACCGGGTATGTGCAGTTCGAAGGGAAGAGCGTTTATCGCGCGATTGAGCAGACCGGTGCCGCGCATTCGGTCGCGGTTGCGCGAGAAGCATTCGTTTCTTCTTAATTCGAACGGGAAATCGAAGATACACCGTTCACAGGGCGAAAGCGATTGCACTCGTGGCAATCCTTGATGAGCGGCGGCGGACCGTCTATGTGCGTTCGCTGCCACGGACGATTGTAGTGTCGCATGCACGGGCGATATCTCTGCACCTCGGGATCCGCTTGTATATGTTCCGGCAAACGGTCCCACAACAGGTGCACGTATCTCCCAAATTGACGCAACAGAAGGATCTTTGGAATGTATTGCAACTCTTCCACCGTTAGATTGAGAATTTCGTAACCGTCCACCAGTATGGGAAACACACCACTGTGAGACATCTCACCGATGCGCGCGAACGATTCGTTGATTTTAGGAAATAAATTTTTTTTCTACGAATACGGCAACACGCTCGCGCTACTTATACCCGTGCGCGAGGCGTTTGCGCACGCGCGACGAAACGAAGCGACGTCCGCGCTTCCCCCTCTTTTTTTTCCAGCGATCGAGAGACTCATCGCGAACGAACCGAGCGAAAAAACTCGAGGGAGAAAGAGAGAAAGAGAAGGCAAACATGCGATTCGTGCGACAGACGGCGACGTTAGGAGTCTCGAATCTGGATCGCAAAACGTCGGCGGGGTTGGCCGCGACCGAGAGAGGAAACGGAGAATCGCGCCGGCACGGTCCTCTCCTTCCGAACGTCGTCCGTTGCATCATTTGCGGTCCCTCCAATTGCGGTAAGACGAACGTTCTGCTGAGCCTGCTGGAACAACCGCACGGTCTCCGTTTCGAGAACGTATACGTGTACTCGAAATCTCTGCAACAACCGAAGTATCGATATCTCGAACGATTGTTTGAGCCTATAGACGAGATCGGCTATCACGCGTTTTCCGACAATCGCGACGTCGTTCCGCCCGACGAGGCGCTTCCCGACTCGGTTTTCATCTTCGACGACGTGGCCTGCGACAAGCAAGACAGAATGAGGGAGTACTTTTCTATGGGTCGACATTCGAATATCGATTGTTTCTATCTCTGTCAGACGTACGCCAAGATACCGAAACATCTCGTGCGCGACAACGCAAATTTGCTGATCCTGTTCAGGCAGGACGGCACCAATCTGCGACACGTGTACGACGATCACGTGAACATCGACATGTCGTACGACGAATTTCGCGCCTTCTGTCGCGAGTGTTGGCGGCGCGCCTACGGTTTCGCCGTGATAGACAAGGACAGCGCGTTGCGAGGCGGACGGTACAGACGGGGCTTCCACGATTTCGCCGTGCTGTAGGGTCGATCAGTGCGCCTCGTCGAACGACGCGAGTATGAGCGCGATCGCGGAGGAGAGAACCGCGCGAGAAATAGCCAAGACGCGCGCCTCGATTCGCAGAAAGTACGCCGCTCTCAGGGCCGGAAAAATGGAAAGCGAGATCGCTCTGGAAAAGAGGTACGAGCCTATCGTCAAACCTCTGAAACGGCTCGTCGATGACGTGGAACGCAGAGGTAAAGGACCGGGCAAAATCGACGACGATGACGGCGCTGGCTTTGCGTTCCCAAAAAAGATGAAAGCGACGAAGAGAGCGAAGAAGGACAGCGAGAACGGCAACGACGACGACGACGACGACGCTGGCGCCGACCTGGAGCGCGATTACTGGGAGAACGACGACGTATTCGCGCCAATCGGGACAACCGCGACGGCGGAAAAAGGAGAATCGCGTCCGGCACGGCTGAGTTCGGCTCCCGCGACGACGACCACGATGAGCTCCACGCCGATCCGCGACGATTTGGTCCAATTGTTACCCAGAGAACGCGAGATCGTATCGGAAACGACAACTCCGCCTCCTACGTTGGAGACGTCCGCCGATAAATCTTTGAGTACGGCGGAAAATCGCGACGTTCTGACTAGCAAACTAGGACCGTTGGGGCGGGAATACTTGGGCGCTCTTCTGGGCGGCGACAAAAACAAGGAGCTCGACACCGTTTACGGAGTGCATTACGGCGAGAAAGGCGCGATGCTGGGAAACAAGCGATTCAAGCTAAAACCGGATGACACCATGGTCATCGCCGGTGTACCGTACAAAGGCACGCGCGGTCTGTACGAGTTGATCTTCATGGGAAAACCCGACCCTAAAATCTACACGGAGAAGGACAAATTAACGTACAGGAGCATACTTTTTTCCACCAGCGCTCACAAACGCGGCGGCAAAGCTGACAATCCCGTCAAGGGCAACAAGGGACCGAAGTACAAAAATATAATAGCGCCGCTCGTAAACCTGTCTCTCACAGTTGGAACTACGAAGGGTGCCGGGTTACCGTCGGCCATGCGACTGACCGACAACGCTATCGATTACGTTCATTGGGACGATCCCAACGAGCTGGTCGATAGACTTCGATTGTTGGACGCCTCTCGTCGGGCCGGCAACGATGCTCACGACAACGAAATCCTGTCGATAATCGAGGAACTTCGCGAAGCCGGCTTCGTCATAAATTGATCGGTCGCGTCGGTCGACGTCAGTGCGAGTCGCGCGCCCGCCAGCGCGATGTCCGTGAACAAATTCGGCATGTCTCTGACGAATCGGGGCAGCGGCGACGGAGTCGACGGTGCGTCCGCGGTGAGATTGCGCTCCTCGATCGAGTCCCTGCGCAATTACGCGCGCAACAACGCGCTCTTCATGAGCGAGGATTTTTACGACGCGAAGGAGCGCAAGATACGAAGAGTGGCCGTGCCGGAGATCGGCACCGACGCGGCGAACAGGAGTTACGTCGAGGACGCGATTGGGCAGCTGAAAAGCGTTTTGATCGAAGAGATCAAGAATAACAACGCGATCCGAGATTTGGGAAACGGAATCGCGGCGTTGGAAAGCGTCGCGCTCCGTTTGAACGCTCAGGATTCCTACGACGCGTCGGGGCGGAAGATTCGACGCGTAGCCGCGCTGGAGGTCGGCGCCGACGCGGCCAACAAGAGGTTCGTCGAGGGAGCGATCGCGGAACTCGGAAAGACTTTGAGCGACGCGATAAAAGAATTTAAAGAGGAGTTCGTCACCGTGAAGAATACCGCGGATAGGCACGAGGTTGAAATCATCGCAATCAAGACTGTTTTGAAGATTATCAAACAAAATGAGCGTGGAAAAACGTAGACTCGTCGAAGAATTGCACGCGCCGGCGCGAAAAAATTTTCCTCGCCGCCGCGTCGTGGTGCGCGGTTACGACGACCTGTGGCAGGCCGACGTGGTCGAGATGCGCCCCTATTCGCGCGCGAACGCGGGCCACAATTACATTCTGACGGTCATCGATGTGCTGAGCAAGTACGCCTGGGCGATCCCGCTCAAGAGCAAGGGCGGAAAGGAGGTCGCGACGGCTCTCCGAAAGATCTTTCGCGAAAACGCGCGACATCCCAGGAATCTGCAAACGGACAAAGGAAAGGAATTCTACAACGCCGACGTGCGCAAAATCCTCGACGAGCGCGAGGTGAATCACTATTCCACGTATTCGGTGATGAAAGCGTCGGTGGTGGAGAGATTCAATCGCACGCTGAAAAACGACATGTGGAAACTCTTCACGCTCCAGGGATCGTACAGATGGATAGACTCGCTGCCGCGCCTCTTGTCGAATTACAATCGTCGCAGACACAGAACGATCCGAATGCGTCCGGCGGACGTGACGCCCACTGTCGCCGAAAAATTGCTGCGCACGGTGTACGGTCGCGCGAAGATAGCCGCGCCGGCGAAATTTCGAGTCGGCGATCCGGTGCGCGTGAGCAAATTCAAAACGATCTTCGAAAAAGGCTACACTCCCAATTGGACCACCGAGGTCTTTCGCATAGCCAAAGTACAAAGGACCAATCCCGTTACGTATCTGCTGAAAGACGTTCGCGAAGAAGCGATAGCCGGAGGATTCTACGAACACGAGTTGCTGCGCGTCTCCAATCCCGACGTTTATCTCGTGGAAAAAGTTCTGCGCAAGCGCGGCAATCGAGCGTTCGTGAAGTGGTTGGGAATGGACAGTTCGCACAATTCGTGGATAGATAAGGCGTCTGTGTTGTAAAAAGAAATACTTAGACATTAGTAGACATTAGTAGACAACGCTTACTTTATTGTTAATAAAGGTTTACACATTCGTCGATTTGTTTCTTACGTGTTATTGATTTTTTACGATAAAACAATTTTTAAAGCGTACAATATTGTTTTACCCCCTTTTTTTTACAACGGTATTTTGTAATGTCCCCACGGAAGCGTCTCCTCGCCGTTCGACGTCACGTATCGCTTGTCGTCGTGCGGACTGAGGGCTAGTTTTTGCTCCGACACGGTGTTAACCTCGTGCAGCGTCGAACGTATGCACGACTGACGCGTCTTCAGCTCGCGCGCGTTCCGTAGACACTCCACGTAATCCTCGAACGTGATCCTCTTCGCGACTACGTTTCTCTTGACGCCCTTTATTCTTCTGGTGTCGTCGCGTCCGAGTACCTTGTAAGTGTACATCTTCGCTCTGAGGCCCACGAACTCCGTCATGATCGCGCCGTTGTTCTCGTCCTTCATCAAACCTGGCACCTTCCTGTTAACGCGCGGCATACCGTGCGCGTTGTTCTCCGCGTAATCGCTCGTGTCGAACCTGTGCACGTCGCGTTTCATACGCTCGTACACGTCTTCGCACTCCAGCGAATAGATCAGACTGTCCGTATCCGTGTAGGCAATTCGACAACGGTCGCGATAAAGCGGCACCATGTAGTCGTAGTGAAACTCGTACAGACGCGTCTTGGATATCTCGAGAATAGACATACCCACGTAGATCGGCTTGTTGAATTTTACCTCGAGCCTTCGCAGCTCGATCGCCACCAGATTCTCCGAAAAGACGCTCCTGCTGTGAAAGTTCGGCTTAGCGATCAACGCCTCCGCCTCGTATCTCCCGTCCCATCGCGTCACGAGACGCACGTCCACGTGATCGCGCACGTTCTCCATAGTCTTGCCGAAGACGGCGTTGTTCATCAGTTTGTACAAATTCCGTTCGAAATCGTTGCTCGCGCGCGTCCTAAGCGCGGTGTTCAGCTCGATGTAGGCGCGAAGCCACGGCGACTGGTCGAATCGTAGAACGCGACGAACGCGCGTCAAACGCATACCTAGTCGCAGACATTGCTGCAGGTTTCGATAGTGCGTCACGTAACGCGATTTGTCGTAGAGAGTGGCGAGCAATTTTTCCTGTCGCTTGCCGGGCGGTTTGTCGCGCGTCGGGCACAACGGCAGATCCGCGTGGGCGTCGTGCAGGTCTCGCGGGTACTCGAGATCCACCTCCAAAATGTAACCGACGTCGCTGTCCGTCGGCACGGTCGTCGCGTCGAAATTCTCAGGATCGTCGAGCCACTGGAAATTCGCGTAGGGCAACGATTCGCTCATAGCCCAGCCGTACAGATTGTTCACGTCGTAATACATGAGATACGTAGTGGGCTGGGACGAGTCGTGCGTCGGTACGTGTCTGTTGTTGGCTCGCGCGTACCTGAGCGAACATTGACTGAGGCCGCCGCGTATTCCGCGTTCCACGAACAGCACCATGTCGATGTCGGTGAGCAGCTCGAAACGCACGCCGGTGTACCTCAGCATGGCGTCCCACGTGTACCCCGGCAACGTGTAGTAATGCGCGGGATCGAGCCCGTAACTCGCCGAACACGCGTCCCGAAAATTTTCAAATATATCCGCCAGAAGAAGCACGTCGGTCTTGAGATACAGATCGCTGTACTCGCCGAGATCTCGCACGCGAAAACGTCGCCAAACCCTCGTCGCGTGCTCGTAGTCGCTCTCGCTCGCGGTCTCGTCGGTCAGGGAGCTGTAAAAGGCCTCGCGCGGCGGAAGCTCGGTATCCCGCAGTTTATCCGCGCCGTCGACGTACTCGTACGGAAACACACCCTTGCGAGTGAGCAGATCGAGATCCTCCGCGCTCAAATCCGCGTACTTCGAACGCGTGATTCTCAGCTTGTCCCTGTTCAGATAGCACGCCAGGGTTTCGATACTCGCCGCTAAAAATTTATACGAGTCCACGAATCGAAGCTTCACGTACAAATCCCGTTTTCCGTCCGTCTGCGTCTCCTTAACGGTCTTCGAGAAAGATATGTAGCTTTCCTTCGTGAGTGGCAGCAGATCGACCCCGCCCTCGAAATCGTTCGCGATTTTCTCGACGACGAAGTGCGCGTCGTAACCCGATAAATTGTGAAAGAACACGGGAATCACGTAAACGTTTCTATAATTCAGATTGCAACGAGAATGCGCCGGACCTCTGTAACGTCCGGTTAGGTGACAGTGATCCCGCACGCGATTGTTCTCCGGTCGAAACGGTTTCTCGCACACGTGACAATGAGTCGCGAGCAGAAATTAGCTTTTCTCGTCCTCCGTGAGTTCCACCATCGCTACATTGGTGGAAAGTTTATTCTTAACGTGACGCGCGAGAACGCGAAGCTCGTTCACGAACCACGAAACGCAATCCTCGCCGCGACGATATCTGTACGCGGACGCGGTATCGTCGTAGGTGCAGCACAGATAGTAGCCTACGCTGAACGGTACGTGACGCTGATAAGCGTATCTTTCCGTTCTCGAGCCCCCCTCGACGTTCTCCCTCTCCCGTCGCTCGAGAAGACACTCCAGATCCGCGTACACCACGAAGGGAAGTCGCTCCTTTCTGTCGTAATTGTCGAAAGACAGCCACTTGTCCCTCTCGTTTGGGAGAACGACGGCGCAGTCGTTTATTCGGCCGCAGTCGACGCTGTGGGCGGCCAACTTGTCGCGCGTATAGAAATAGTGTAGACATCTGCGAAAAAAATAACGTGCGAGCGATTACTGTGCGTATGTAAAAAAAAAAAATAACGCCTCGTCTTTTTCCTTATTCCCTCGTGTTTTTTTTTCATTTCATTTCTTTTACCTACCGATCGCAAACGTGCTTCGCGCACCGTTTCGCGGTCAATTGCGAATTCACCAATCGCGACAGATTCTTTATCCAGGCGAAATGGCCCCTGTTGACGCCGCGCAGCGTATCGGGCAGATACAGCAGATTTACGTGCCTGTCCCGCTTATCGTCGGTCAACCGCAGAGGCACGATCGCGTTGTGGTCGGCGCCCCGGCCAAATTTAGCTTTCTTTTCAATTTCTTCCCGAGTTGCAAACACGTTGATCGATACGTCGTTCTGACGTTCGAATTTTCCGATCTTTTTCAGATCTATGGGAAAATCGATCCCGTCGAGATTCAGCACCGTCGCGTAATCGGGATACGAGCCGAGTCGTTCCGCGTTGCGCTTGGCGGGGTACAGAGCCGCGACCACCGCGCGCGCGAAACACGTGTCGTTCTCCGACGGCACGTTGACCACCGCCCTTTTAACTCTTATGCTCAGCGGTATTTTCATCCAACATCCCACGCGCATGGGATTACACTTGTTCACGTTCACGATTAGGTTCAATATTCGCGACAACGCCCATCCGCTGTCGCGTTCCTGAAATTCTTCCAACCGCGTTAGAATCGCGTCGCGCACGTGCCTATCGTACCACTCGCTCAGATCGGACCATGGGAGAAGCTGTTCGTTCCGCGTAGCGATACTCTTGACGTCGGTCTTAACGCCCGCTACGAATTCACCGTTAAATATAACGTTCACCTTTAGACACCCGTGCTCGGTCATATTATCCCGCACTTTTTCGAGCACGGTGCCCTTCGCGTCGTCGAGAAATCGCGCGGGCTCGATGTACGTCGAGTTCGTCACGGCGCCGGTCAGCACGCGACGTTGGAACGCCGCGTCGATCTCGATCCACGAGAAACCTCTGTCGCTGCTGCTGCCGCCGCTACCACCTTCCCCTCCGTCCAAGCCGGCACCTACGGCGCGTTCGAATCGTCGACGCAGATCCTCCCTCGAACCTTCCAATCGCGCTATCAGAGCCACCAGAGCGCTCACGGCTCCCGTGTTTCCTCGCTTCCCGGAGCGTTTGACTCGACACTGCTCCCGCAGGCGTCGGAGACACTCGTCGCATCGCCGTCTCCACGCGCGGTAACCGTCCGCGTCGCGGACGTCCGCGGCGAGCAACTCGTCGCACTCTTTCCGCATCGCGTCCAGAAAGGTTCACCCTCGGGAACGTTGAATTTCACTCGGTCGAAAAGACGACGAGACCAGTCGGTTTGAACCCGATATATCCTGCTCTGTCCTCCGTACACCGACTCGTGATAGACATAATACTTGAGCGGCAGGCGACGCATATAATCGTTCGCCCTGGCGGAGTTCGCCAACGTCGTCTCTATCCACTTTCGCTCGCGATGGATTCGCGCTCCGATTTCCCTACGCAGATGATGGGTAGCCAGATTCCATCGCGGATCCTCCTTCGCCACCGACGCGCGCGCACTCGACAACGGTGTTTCGACTCTCGCCCATTCGTCGCCCGAATCGGACGAAAACTTAGGCATGGGCTCGCGACAGCGCAATTCGTTGTCCGATTCCTCGGACGACGGATAACGGCGATCGTTCATTCGCGAGTACCCCAGCCGAGAATGCTAGCGTCTTTTCAACGTTTATAGATGTCGATAGATATCGAATCAGTCTCTCTCTATAAGATATCAATTGGACGTCTAAATACGTTGGCGTTCCGGCTGAGACGTATCGTCGACGCTACATTCGCACCGCTGACATCTATATATCAAAGTAAAAAGATCTCCATCTTGAATCCTCCCATATTAATGTTTCGGTGCAATCATAAATATCCCACAAACCTATTTTACAATTCCCTCCACACTGTGAACAGAACTCGTGCGTCAATACTTCGTCGTAAACGTTACGGACGCTGCCGCGAACGATACACCAACATGTTTTAACGTATGAGTCCAAAGTCCTCCAAATGTGTTCGGTTCTACCAATATGCAATTTGAAATTCTTGGGCCTCCACCTGCGTTCGTTTTTACTGATATGCGATCTAAAATGCTTGGGACACCACGTGTCAGCGCCAGCGAGTACGTTTCGAAATCCGATTTCTCTGCCGCGAAGCAAACGCACCATCGACGAGCAATAACGTCCGTCCGTTCCCATACCGTATTTTTTTTTACAAAATATATTAACTCTCGACCGCGTTCTAGAATCCTCGTAGAAAAAAAACCGTTTGCCGCGCCGTTCGCGCGCCCGTTCAATTTATACTTCCTCGTTCGTCGTCTCGACGGAAGACGTACCCCTGCCGGACGCGATTTTCCCGGAATGATGACAACCGCTCGCCGACATCCTCCGATAAAAAATATAAAAAAAAAAAAAAAAAAAAAAAGGAGGAAACGACGAGAGCGACCGGGACGCCGAATTCGAACGCGCGTTACATAAATTATCGCGGATCGCGAATCACGGGTCGAACGCGAGGTGAATGAAAAATTGTCGCGAACGAAGAGAGACGAGTCGTCTCGATCGTTCTCTCTCGACGCGTCGCGTCGGGAACGGTCGGGAAAACCGCGAGACGAAAGGAGGAAAACCGCGAGACGAGACCAAATTAGGAAACGACGAGAGCGACCGGGACGCCGAATTCGAACGCGCGTTACATAAATTATCGCGAATCGCGAATTGCGGGTCGAACGCGAGGTGAATGAAAAAAAACATTGTCGCGAACGAAGAGAGACGAGTCGTCTCGCTCGTTCTCTCTCTCTCGACGCGTCGCGTCGGGAACGGGCGGGAAAACCGCGAGACGAAAGGAGGAAAAACCGCGAGACGAGACCAAATTGGGAAACGACGAGAGCGACCGCGACGCCGAGTTCGAACGCGCGCCACGTAAATTATCGCGAATCGCGGGTCGAACGCGAGGTGAATGAAAAAAAAAAAAAAACCATTGTCGCGCGTCGATCGAGCGACTAGACGATGAGTCATCTCCATCGATCCCGACGAGTCGGGAAAACCACGTGCTGTCCGTCGCCCGCCGCGGGATCGAAACGACCTTCGGACCGAGAGTTGAAAAACAAAAACATGACAAAACGACGACGACGACGACGACGACGGGCGCGCGACACCCCGCCCCCCCGCGAAACGAACCGTCGTTCTCCCCTCCCCCAATTCCCCGAAACGTCCCCCGGACGAGCGACCTCGAACGAGTTCGAACGAGTTCGGACGCGCCCGAACGCGGGGGGGGCGCGCGCGACCCGACGACGACGAAAAGAAAAGAACAAAAAATAAAAAACGAACGAAAAATATCGACCCGCGATTCTCCCAAAACCGCCGTCGGTAACGGCGCGAGCGCCGCTCCGGGCGCCCTCTCGAAAAATGCCCAAATCCCCGCTACGAGCCCCCCCGTTGGCGGCCCTGCCCCGCGCCGAACCCCCGTTGGCGGCCCTGACGCACCCAACCTTCCGTCAAATGTTCCCCTCGCGTCGCGCACCCCCTCCCGCCCAGCTTTCGCTTCCCCCCCCCTCGCCCCCCCTCCGATGACCCTTTACACCGTCCCTCGACCCGCGCGCCCACCGCTTACGGCGCTCCCCCCGCGACAGCGAAGCCCCCCCCGACGCCGCGTAACCGCAAGCGACATCCCTGAGTGTAGAAATGCCCGTTGCCCCCCTACTCACTCGGTCTCTCCGGTCGGTTTCAACGGTGTCTGAAGCATGGCAAACGA